AGCTCTGAAAACTCCAAGATGATGAGTTCTTATTTTCCCCTGATATTTCCTACTTAAAGGATTTCTTTTCAGTTATAGTAAAAAATGGAAGTATCAGGCTGTCTGTGTTTGTACACACCTGTAATACCAACTACTCAGGAGGGAGAGAATGGGAGAATTTTGGTTCAAGGCCAGCCTGGGCAAAGTGTTAGCAAGACTCCATCTCAACCAAGAGACCCTGTCAGAAAAAATAACTAAAGCAAAAAAATGAAGAGAAGGAGGAGATGGAGGAGATGGAATAGATGGAGGAGGAGGAGGAGGAGGAGAAGAAGGAAATTTCAAGTACCAACTGGGAATTCTTCAAATAAAACAATATGTGTCGATATACTGACATTGCAATGCTTTACATCATCAATTGTGTGAGATAAGTATAACAAAACTCTTAGTGATGATAAAACCAGTCACATTACCTAACTCTATTGAATATTTATCAAGTCAATTTACAATACATTACAAAAGATTGAGATAGTCACAGAGAAATACAACAAAGACCAATATTATTTACTTAATATCATAGTTAATATGCATGTACTTGAGCTGCATTATGGTTGGTGTTGGACCAACCACAAATATCCATTCTTGAAAGTATTTTATTGTCACCAAACCATAACCTATGTAAGTATAAAAATTGCTTCAGTTCCAGTGAAAAATTTTATTAACACGATTAATTAGAGTCAGAATCTCAGTTGAATGAGTCATTCAATTTCTAAATAAACACTGTAGATGTGAATAATTAACTATCACCTCTAATTAGAGAATGCTATTCTTCTGTATTTGAAAATTTCAAAGTAGATAGATTTTTGTCTACCTTACAGAACTTGACCTTGACAGGCCTGTAGATATGTCCTGCTTAATTTTAGAACTTTTCACAGTTTTATTTTGCTTAAAGCCAAAAATCACATTAACATATGGCTTTTTGCTTTTATGAAACTGTCCAGTGGGTTGAAAGGAAAGAATAAACTTTATGAGGGCAGGAGAGCAGAAGAATGTTTGTGAGAGCACAGTGGCACCTTTGATTTCAGACCTGGGTGATTTCAACACTACAGATTCTCTGCTGCCATTATAGTTCAAGAGTATTCTTCATTGCCTTCTGGCCTCTTGATTGAAAAAATATCAAGCCAATAAGAAGTAAAATTTAGTTTCCAGTTTGTTTACTTGGATGATGGGATATATAGAGTGTACAGGACCTATTAATAAAGATGTGAACGTTTGCCATATTTATTTCCCAAGGGGTAACTATTGCCATTCTCAAGAATCCAATGATATTTATAGCTAGTCATAATTTAAAAAATGTGCATGAGAAAGTTTTGTGACTCTTAGAAAAAACATTAGTATGCTTAATTTCTTTTTTCTTTTGTGGTCTCTTTTTTTCTTTTCTTACTGTCCTTTTTTCTTATTTCTTCTCTTTCCTTTATTTTCTTTTTTTTTTTTTTTTATTTTTATTTTTTTTTAATATTCATTTTTTTTTCTTTTTTTTTTTTTTTTTTTTTTTTTTTTTCTTAATAAATCCACCATCAGTGCTAAGAGGAGTGACTGCCCAGCAGGAGGCCCTGAGTTCAACACTGTTGGAATCACAAAAGAAGAAAAGAGAGGAATCTGCATTTACTCATAAGGTATTGGAAAATGGAGTTAGACATAATAAGTTTTTCATTGGTCAGAGCTAGGATGTTATGCTTCCAAAGCTCTCAAAGCTGAATTGCTAAAAATGAATTAATAAATCAAATTTGTTCTCTGTTTCATAAATGACTCAACGTGTACCATATTTAACATCAACAAATCAAACCCTTTAACTGAACAGTTAACAGAATTTAACTGTTATACATAGCCTTACAAAATAAAAGTATTTACCTTAGGAGGAAGAAATACCATTGAATTTTACCTAAAATGAAGTATTAAAGTTCAACATAAAAGAAAAAGCTGAAAAACACTGCAAACAGAAGCATGCTCTAAGAGGTACAGCTTTCTGATGGGAAACCACATTTTAGGGAAAAGTCAACCTGCAGTAAGATTGAATGGCATGCACCACTGATTGTGGAGTTTTTGGTTTTCAAGTCAAGCAAAAAGCTACAATGAATCAAGAACACTTTTGAATACAATCTTAATTTCCTTAGTCTCAATTCCCAATGAACCAAGGGGAGGTGATCAAATTGTGTTTGTAGCTACCATGATGATAATAAGGAAATAATTATATAAACACAAGATCAAAATGTTGAAAGAATCAAAATAAGGGAGTTGTTTAGCTAGTTATTAGGGATTTAGTCAAAGAGATCATGGTTAGATTTTCAGAGATCTTCACTTTCAAATATGAGTCTATATTTTGACCTATATTGATGATAGAGAGTAGTAGACTCTTTACATTCTAAGATACTATATTCTCAGTTTTTAAAAAAATAATTTACATTAACATGATCTTTTAGACCCTGTAAGGACTATAAAAATTCTAAGTCACATCGAATACTTCATTTTCAAGTGCCTTATCTCTTGTCCCCAAAATATTTATCTCTTCTGACATAGATATTGTAAACTATACCAATAGTAACAAACGTTTGCACAGTACTTCTTTGTGCTGGCACCACCCTATATGGTTTTGGAGCCTTATCTTGAAACCTATTGCAATGCCTACAAAGATTATTTCTTTTTTGCAGATGAGGAAATTGAAAGTCCCCACAGAGTCTCCAGAACACTTTCACTTTAGCCCAGTGAAGCTGATTTTGATCTTCTGGTGTTTAGAACTTAAAGACAATGCATTTTCCTTATTTAAATCCACTAAATTGTCACAGCAGCCAGAGAAAATGATGACACAGCTCCACTTTAAATCAGATTACTTCCACAATTTTTATAAATTTCAAAGCCATGATCATTTCTCAGGCACTGCTTATCTCTTTACTCAAATTACAACTTGTAATTCTAGTAATGACTACAAAGCAGGGATAATAATATTGCACCTCTTTTATGAAAGGAGCAAAAAGGAAGTTTAGACTAATCCAGAAACTTGATCTCATGATCACAGTTACAAAGTTTTAGAACTAGAATCTACTCCCGGTTCTATCCATAGCCTCTTCTTTATTGCCATGTGGTCTGAATCTCCTTCATCCTTCTTTCCACATATTGTGTTAATAAGGTCTATGTTGATTTTTTAATATTCATATTTAAAATTTTGATCCTGAATGAATATGTGGAGTGTTCTAAGTTAGAGACAGATTTCTTGTTAAATACTCTAAGGTATCTAATAAGAAGTGTATTCCTCCTGCTTACCTCAGGCTTTCCAAGATGATTCAACTAAAGTCATATCCCCCTGTTCTACTTTAATAGCCAAGCACTCACTCCACAGGCCAGACATGAGAAAACATGATTTTCTCTACTTAAAAAGGGGAAGAGGCAATGTGCCCCACTCACCTCCATGGAGACATAATATACCTGAATCCTAGGTTTTCTTTTTCTCTCTCTCTCTTTCTCTCTTCCTTCCTTTTTTCCTTCTTTATTAAAATTTCAGATAGGGTCACACTAAACAGTCCACACTGGCTTTAAACTTGTGTGATCCTACTGCCTGAGTCTCCCAAATGCTGGTATTGCAGTTGTATACCTCTGTGCCCTCTCCAAAAGCCAGATAGTCCCCTTATCTCCTCTTTCATGATGCAGAGATGTCTCTAAATTCTGTGGTTTCATCTCTTTTGACATATAAATAACTACTACTGACTTCAAGGCCAGTCCAGACAAGTAGTTCATGAGACCCCCATCTCCAAAATAACAACTGCAAAGTGGACAGAAGTTGTTGCTCAAATGGTAAACTGCCTACTTTGCAAGAAAAAAGCCCTAAGTTCAAACTTCAGTTCCACCAGAGAAAAAAGTCACTTACATAATATGAAATACTCAGCCACTCATTTTTCTATCTCCCATCGCACACATTGTTCAAATTCTTCAGAAGAATCCACTTTACAATAATTTAGCTCTCACCTCCATTAAAAGGAACAGAATGCATAATTATTCGAAAAACCATTTAGTAAAATAATTTAAATGAAAGCTGTTTTCAAAATATCTATCAAAATTTCAAAATATTAAAGCTCCAGAATTGAATAGCAGGTTGGTTGTAGTGAAATAAAATTAATATTTTACCTAAAACAGGAATTATTAAGGAGGGGGCCCACATGGACTTTGGAAAAAGTATCATCAAATATGCCTTTTGAGAGAAACAGGGAAAGGGCCAGGTAGTGGTGGTAGCTGGCATGGCCTAGTCTGTTAGGGTTTTTAGTACCTTGGGTACAAATGTTTAAGGCATATTTAAAAAATCAATCAATCAAACAAACAAACAAAAAGACTCTTAAGAATTATGCTTTTGTGAAAGCTTTATTTTCATGTTATCTGCAAAACTACATTAATAAATAACACCTGTACTCCAAGACTTGAAGAGCACTGCACAGTTCTTGCTAAACAAGGCATTGTGCCTTACAAAGAAGACATAAAATGTCCAAGGTATAATTAGAACGTCATAGTTCTCAAAACTTCAATATCAGAAATGTTGACCACATTCTGTGAAAGTATTGCAATAAACAATAGCTGGCAATCTTCTAAACAGTTACAGAAGTCAATGTGTACCCACATTCCCTAACATTAACAGTGATCTGACTACATTTGATTGGATCTTCCACTCTTTATCTCCAGTCTCTATCACTATGGTTGGCATGGTTCCCTGCACAACCCTCCCCCAAAAATGTAATGAATGAACAACATTTAAAATCCATCACCTTCAAACTGAATAATAGTTAAGACTACACTAGCTGATTTAATATAAAACTGATCTTTTATAATAACTATATACAGTATTTTTATACACAATCAAATCTTTAAATATCAGAAAATATTAATATACAAGCATTGAAAAATAAATAAATAAATACATATATAAATAAATAGAAGAACTCTCATAAGAAATAGTCCAACACGCAAGGCATAGCCCAGGTATCCTGGGGACAATTTGTTTTGTCTCTTCACTTTGACTCCTCTTACAATCTCCTTTAAGAACAGCAGCAAACAAGTCCCCTCCTTCTTTCCAGATCAGTTTGTGTTGCCTCTGTGGTGAGAAAATGGTGTCTGTTAGTAGGTACTCAAAAAATAGACTGCAGAGTCCTCTTCTCTCACTTTAATCTTCCACAGTTTAAGATTCCCCAAATGCAGTCATCCTCTAGCCCTGCACAAGGGATTTACTGCCTGCACCACTGTACCACTGCTGCTCTATGTAGAAAAAACAAAACAAAAAAACTACCAGGCTCCTGGATACTGTCTAATTAGGAATAGTAGATCTGTGGTCACAATTCTATTATTAGCTTCAAACACCAAAACGATATTGCACAGGTGTAGAAATGTACATGTATGACCTCACTTAAGCTTCATAGCAAACACCGAGTAACTATTATTACTTTTTAATTTAATTGAAAAAGGATGATAAGATGTTGAACCTCGACATGAACTCAGAAGGGTCTCGCTGTGAATTGTATGGTCTTCATCAGCAAGACTTAGAGGTACACATGGCCCGAACTAGTTTCTACCCTTTACATGGGAGGCCCATAAGGGACAGAGGTAAACATTGCACTCCGTAGGCAGGAGCCACATAGCATCCTGGGCCAGCTACGTAGCAATTAGAAACGCATAATTTGCCCACATCCAGTTGAGTAGAGGTTTAGCTGTGGAGGTCGAGAGTATTGGAAATTTCCTCTTGGAACCAGAGAAGACAAACAATCTAATGGTAAGATTAATTATGAAAATAGTAATCATGATTTCTAGTCCTGCAGCTTAAACTCGAGTTACTCTGATAGAATTTTTAGGACGCAGATACCAGTACTGTGACCCATGGCTCCAGTCACACGTGCAAACAGAAACAATTACTCACTTGTTCAGCATCTTTTCGATGATTTTCTTAACCATGGGGGCTTCAGGGTTGAGACAAGCTTCCTGTCCATTCTTGAGAGTGGCTCTACATGAGAGAAGGAAGGACCTGAGTGAGGCAGGAGGTCGGGCTGGGGTCAAGGTTGGGGTTTTGAACAGGATCAGAGTGACCCTGACTGCAGCAGCAGAGGCGAGAGGCTGAACTTACATGACTTCGGTTTCAGTGCAGTGGGGTCCCGGGGCCGTCACTTTCACGCTTTCAATATGTTTGGGGTGAATTCCTTGCAAGGTCTTTAGGCACTGGCAGCGCAGTTCTGTGACTGCGGGCGCCCCTGGAGGGAAAGAGACAGGGTTAGCGGGATGTCCCCAGGTTAAGCGGCACTGAGCCCTGTCCTGCCCAGGATCCCAGGGATTGCGTCCTACCTGCAGCGTGCTGGCAAGTGGCCACCAGGAGCAGCAGCAGCAGCGCAGCGTGGAGGAGGCGCGGGGCGCTGGGGGCGGCGGAGACGGCGCGGGCCATGGAGCTCGGGAAGAAGGAGGCGCAGTCTGGAGCGGGAGAGCTGGCGGGGAGCTGCTGTGGGCCTGGATCTGTGGCTCGCCAAGACCGGAGAGCCTTTTATACACAGCTGGGGGAAAAACCTGAGCTCGAGCCCGGGCCAGGGAAATTCCCGGAGTCCTGGCGTTTCCTCCCAGAACAGAAAGAAGACACCGCCCCGACTCTGGGCGATCTGGGTGTGGGACACATGGTGCCAACTTCCTCTGGCCTGGGTCCACCTCCCGCGGACGCTGTGACCGTGATGTCCACTCTCTGCCCCAAACCCCATAGACCAGTGTTGCAGTTCTGGAGTGACTGCCTGCGAGGGACCAAGGATGCCCAGACGGCCTCATGGGGGGATACTTGACAGTTTGGAGAAGGGGCCATTAGGATTGGCAGAGATAAAGTGGTGTGTGTGGTGGGGGGGGGGAACTGCTTCTCATAGCTACTTCTGTATAAATACACTCTGTTAAACTGTATCTCAGATCACACATAAGAATCTTTGCCTAGTTCCTGGTACTTACCACCACAAATAAA